GAAGAAGAAGAAGAAGAAGAAGAAGAAGAAGAAGAAGAAGAAGAAGAAGAAGAAGAAGAAGAAGAAGAAGAAGAAGAAGAAGAAGAAGAAGAAGAAGAAGAAGAAAAGAAGAAGAAGAAGAAGAAGAAGAAGAAGAAGAAGAAGAAGAAGAAGAAGAAGAAGAAGAAGAAGAAGAAGAAGAAGAAGAAGAAGAAGAAGAAGAAGAAGAAGAAGAAGAAGAAGAAGAAGAAGAAGAAGAAGAAGAAGAAAAAATAAGAAGAAGAAGAAGAAGAAGAAGAAGAAAAAGAAGAAGGAAGAAGGAGGAAGGAGGAAGAAGGAGGAAGAAGGAAGAAGAAGGAGGAAGAAGGTAGAAAAAGGAAGAAGAAGAAAGAAGAAGAAAGAAGAAGGACGAAGAAGGACGAAGAAGGAAGAAGAGGGACGAAGAGGGACGAAGAGGGACGAAGAGGGACGAAGAAGGACGAAGAAGGACGAAGAGGGAAGAAGGAAGGAAGAAAAAGGAAGGAAGAAGAAGGAAGGAAGAAGAAGGAAGGAAGACGCAGGAAGGAAGAAGAAGGAAGGAAGAAGAAGGCAGGAAGAAGAAGAAAGGAAGGAAGAAGGAAGGAAGAAGGAAGGAAGAAGAAGGAAGGAAGAAGAAGGAAGGAAGAAGAAGGAAGGAAGAAGAAGGAAGGAAGAAGCAGGAAGGATGACGCAGGAAGGAAGACGCATGAAGGAAGACGCAGGAAGGAAGAAGCATGAAGGAAGAAGCAGGAAGGAAGAAGCAGGAAGGAAGAAGCAGGAAGGAAGAAGCAGGAAGGAAGAAGCAGGAAGAGGAAGGAAGAAGGGGGAAGGAAGAAGAAGGAAGGAAGAAGAAGGAAGGAAGAAGAAGGAAGGAAGAAGAAGGAAGGAAGAAGAAGGAAGGAAGAAGCAGGAAGGAAGACGCAGGAAGGAAGACGCAGGAAGGAAGACGCAGGAAAGAAGACGCAGGAAGGAAGACGCAGGAAGGAAGAAGCAGGAAGGAAGAAGCAGGAAGGAAGAAGCAGGAAGGAAGAAGCAGGCAGGAAGAAGCAGGCAGGAAGAAGCAGGAAGAGGAAGGAAGAAGGAGGAAGAAGAAGAAGCAGGAAGGAAGAAGAAGGAAGAAGAAGCAGGAAGAAGAAGCAGGAAGGAAGAAGCAGGAAGGAAGAAGCAGAAAGGAAGAAGCAGAAAGGAAGACGCAGGAAGGAAGAAGCAGGAAGGAAGACGCAGGAAGGAAGAAGCAGGAAGGAAGAAGCAAGAAGGAAGAAGCAGGAAGGAAGAAGCAGGAAGAAGAAGCAGGAAGAGGGAGGAGGAAGAAGAAG